TTTTTTCCATAATGAGAAAAAGAGTAGATCAAGCACCCTCCACCTTTCAAACATTTTTTTTATTTTCATAAGCAATAATGTCTAAGATTTTAAATATTTTTTTCAAGAACTTCATAAAGCAAGTAATGAAAATATGTAGGAAAACTTTTGTTGATAGCAACGTGAACTGCTCATATTTTTATAGGATCCTTTAGTTTTTTGATGATATCTAACATAAGGATGAAAACTATTCACTTTTAAATATTTGAAGGATATTTTCTGCTAAAAATGAAACTTTAAGGATGCAACTTAAGTTTGGGGTATAGTTAAAGAATGTTTTTAACCAAAAACTTGTCAAACTTAAGTACGCCCCTAATATTACAACATAAGTGAAATATTCTTTTAAAATCTCGCCAAATTTACAGATGGTTTCAATACTTTTCTTTTGTTTTTTATTGAAGGTGTATTGGGTTTTAAGTTTATTTAATTATATATGGATAATGCACAAGTACTCTCTCAACCTATGCTCGAATTTCAAAGATACACTTATGTTATACTAAAGTCCTATTATCTTCTGAACTTATTTTATTAATAGTTTTATACCTTTTTTCGACCTACGTGACACTATCTTGTGAGCCCAGCGCTAGTTGATTTTTTTTTTCAAGTTAGTATCACATAGACCGAAAAGCTAGAAAATTACTTATAAAATAAGTTCGGAGGATAATAGACCTTAGTATAGTATAAGAGTGTCTCTAAAATTTCGAATATAAATTAAGAGGATGCTAATGCATTTTCGAAATTATAGATGCATATGTTTTTGATATTGTTAATGCATTTTCGAAATTATAGATGCATATGTTTTTGATATTGTCAATAATTTGGATATAAAATTAATAAATTTAGGAGTACTTTTCTCTTATTCTCTTATTTTAAAGGTTGCCAGCTGTTTGTCACATGTAGTACATGAACACGTCACTAAATATGTTTTTTCTAGTAGAAGTTTTTGTTTATGGAATTTCCAAATAATTAAAGTGCTAAATTATATGGCTTGATGTGATAGATGTCTTCTTATGTTACTTGAAATGTTCTTCATATCCAGGCCAATAATTTAAATTTGTTGGAACAATTAAGGCATTATCAGTTATATTTCATATTCTTTTAAGGAAAAACACATACCAATAAGTAATCAATGATATTTGAAAAAAAAATGTATCTATGATGGTATATGACTTAATTTTAACTTTATTTTCAATCGTAACTTCAAAACTTTTCAAATAACATATAAAATACTCGTTACAATATATGAATTTAATCTATGATGTTATATGACTTAATTTTAAAATATTACCCCTTTAAAGAAAATTAATTGTCTATTTAAGATGAATTAATTAAGTTGGATGAATTTGCTAGTTCTAGAAATTAAGTTGTAAACCATCTTACAAAAATACTTTTAAATTTTAACCATTTTTACAAAGTACTAATCAAACCTAACTCTAACTTCAATTTTAAGAATGTCAAATAAAATGTCTTTTTTTTCGGTTTTCTTGGTTAAATGCCCTTAAAGAATATTAAATGGAAAGGACAAAAATTGGTGGTAGAAAAAGTTCTTACGTACTCTAACTAACATATTTACTTTTGTAAAAATCATTCAAATAATTTATAACGTAAAAATATGAGGAAAATGGTTAGAAATTGAGGTATAAACAGTTCATTATTAAAAATGTAAAATTACGGCTGAAAAAAAATAAGAGAAGTGATTTTTACATAATTTTTTTCAATAAAAGTTTAATTCCATGATTTTCAATAAATTTAACCAATAGTATTCGATAAATATTTTTATGAAAATAAAAAATATTAAATTATAATAAATTTAAATAATCAGAACGGTTAGATACATAAAAGATTCTTTTTATAAACTTATGAGTTTTGACTAACTCAAAGAACTAATTCAATTAGGTACAGTTTATATAATTATTTATATAAATAATATAATTTTTTGATAAAATGTTCGACTGATTATCCATTATCATAGGTTACTACATTGCTTTTTGCAGGACACACTTATGAAAATTATGTTAATTGTAATTGTTAAAATGTTATTGTTGAGCTGTGAGCTATTTTAATTGTGAATTATTAAATTGAATTGATTTTATGCCAGGTGATAGTTGTGCTTGATGAATATTAAGTTGGTTCTTGAAGATATGTAATTGTTAGAGTGTTGTTGTTAAGTTGTGAGCTATGTTAATTATGAACTATAGTTAGGTTGAGATGGTTTTATGCATGTAATAGTTGTGCTTGATGAATATTGAGTTGGTTGTTGAAGAAATGTAATTGTTAGAGTGTTGTTGTTGAGTTGTCAGCTATGTTAATTATGAACTATAATTAGGTTGAGATGGTTTTATGCAGATGATACTTGTGCTTGATGAATATTGAGTTGGTTGTTGAGGATATGTAATTGATAGCGTGTTGTTGTTAAGCTATGTGCTATATAAATTGTGAACTGTTAGGTTGAACTGATTTTGTGCATGTTGTAATTGTGAAGGTTTGGTTAGGGCGTAAAGAGTACCCGTATTTTATTCCCTTAACTTGTATTTTAGAAGTTTACTTGTTGTGTATCCTGTGATTTGGTATTTAATCACCCCCCCCCCCCACCCTTGTTTCTACATTTTGTAGGTTACTTGCTCAGATCTTTGTAATATTTTCTCTTTTTGTCTGAGGTTTTCTGTGAAAATTTGTGAGATAATTATTTTTTATCTTAGTATACCTTTTATTTCTATTATAATCTTCCTTTATTTTAGAAATAAGATCATTTGAGACTTATGTTTTTCTTTCAAATCAGTTACAATATTTTAAAAATTTATACACGTGACAATTAGATTTTAAAAATATTTTTAAATTAATTATAACATTTTTGTATTTTATTATAATAATTGAGTTTTATGTTGATTTGTCTTATGAAATAAGTTAAGTATGATCATATCCAATATTTGGATCATGACATACAAATTCTCATTTTTCAAATGGTTATTAATCTAATTTAAGTGCTTAATTTACCAAGTTTGCGAGGTTATTTTAGACATTAAGCCAAATTGTACAAGTGTATTAAAAGTTTGCCAGCTGCTTATCATAAGTTAATATTAGATGACGACACGTAAGTCTATATGTACGTAAGTCTATATGTTTTTCTATTTTTTTTTATTTGGGGGGGGGGCATCAAACCCTTTGATTTTTTTTGTTTCGTCCTATATCTACTTTAAAATTTAATCTAATTTAATTTGAATTTATGCTAAAAACAAGTTCACATAAAGATAATATTTATTTTTTAATAAGACGAACTTATACTCTTGATTTCTTTTTATGTTATTCCCACAATTAGGGGTGCTTATCGAATGAAACAGACGAATAATTTTTCATAACGATTTAGCCTAATGAATATTAATTTTTAATATATTAATTTAGTAGCTAATAAATTTTAATTGATTTGATAATAAATTAGCATTTATCGAACTGTTATCATATGGTGTATAGGGTAACCTCTACGAGGGCACCTTAATTATGACTTAATTTTTCTCTATTTTAAATGGTAAAAAATTTCTATATTACAAAAAGTATAGATTATTACTATAGTTAATAATAGGAAAGTAAATATCTTTTTAAGTTTTTAGTTTTGCGGCCCTAAGATTAATAATATATAATTATATATCATGAAAAATTATTTAATGATGTTAATATACCTAAACTAAAATTATATCTATGTTAACTCTCAGCGGATCAATAATTTATCTGAAAAAAAATTGAATAATCAACTCCACAAGCTGTTAATTATAAAAGGGGAAAGGATAAAACCATAATTCACTTTTATATTAAAAATAGATTTTAATTTTCTGTTTAGAACACTCCAATCCACAACTCACTTCTATATTAAAAAAATGAATTTTTATTTTCATTTATTATTTTTAACTTATTAAAAAGCCTTTCTTGAGTTTGGAGAACATTTTTTTAAAATTAAATTTGATAAAGGGTGGAAATAAATTTATTTGTATTCAATACTTTCGACTAATATGCTCTTGATGTACACTCTAATTCCTCCTTTTAACTCCTCCCGATTCACAAGTAGAATAGCTACGTTCTTATTTCTTTTCTTTTTTTTAAAAAAAAAACAATTAAAAAAACTTCCCTATTTTAGGATTCATTTTAAACAAAAAAAGTAAAAAGTAATTATAAATAATGTGAAATTGATTAAGAATGTTCTCTCGTAATAATTTTAGTTTAGTCCAAAAATATTTTTATTATTATTTTGGATCAAAAGTATATTTTTTTAAAAATACAAACATATTGTTTCTTTTTCTTTTAAACAAAATCTTTTCCTAATAAAAATATTTTAACCAATCAATTTTTTTTAATTTTCAATTAGATCATGATAATATTTATATCTTTTTTTCTTAAATTTTTTGAATTAGTTAAATAATGATATGGGGTAGTTCGGTTTTAGTCGACAAAATAAGATTAATAAGAAAAATGATTACTTTCCACTTTTTATCTTTAAGTTCAAATTTTTTTTAAAAGATAAAATTTTAAAAAAAATCTTTAAAAATAATGTTTCATTAGCAAGTTAATGTGTTTTAGAAAAATATAATATGTTCATTAAGAAAAATACGTTTTTGAACCAAATTTAACCATATGAGCATTTTTGTTCAAAATATTATCAACAAAAGCGATTTTGAAAATTTTAACGGATTTTTTATTCCATAATTTAAAGACATTTTTACTTTTTCAACTTTTTTTTTTGCAATATCATCAAAGTATGTTTTTAGAGCTATCAATTCATAATAATTTCAAGCATTTCACCTACCACTCTTTTAAATTAATTAAATCAATTACTCCATGCCAAACTTTTTGTAGGCCACCACTATTCTGAGCATGACCAACAATTTTTCAACACTTGCCAGATAATGTTATCAAAAAATCAATACAATATTATCAACACTATCTTTTTTTAAAAAAAAAAAAATTATTTACGATTTTTAGTTAATATTACCGACACTCAAGTAGAATAAAATATCTCTCTGGCACACAATTAACCAATCAGAAAGCCCCAAGTATATGAAGCACACTCAATTATTTTCCTTTTTTAATATTCTAAATCTTTTTATATACAAAAATTAAAAAAAAAAAGTTTACAAAAATCTACCAATATAATTACCATGTAATGCAGATAACAAAAAAATGAGCTCCTCATCACTTCCTTCATACTCCGTCTGCAGGTTACGGTGCTGCCGGAATTTAACCACAATTTCTTCCGGCAGCACCTTATTCCGGCAGAGCGGACACGTGGCAGAATCTTGTTGGAGCCACGTGTCCAAACAATCCTTGTGAAAAATATGCTTGCATTTCAGCTTCCGTACTTGTTCGCCGTCTTCAAATGCCGATAAACAAACGGCACAGGTATCGGAAAAACCGGCCGGGTTGATTGAGGGGGTTTTGAACCGGCTGACCGGGTTTTTTTCGTCGATGAGTTTGAGGTATTGCTTGGTTGTGATGGGGCGGCCGCGGCCGGAATCTGAGATTGTGTCGGTTATGGAACGTACTAAGATTACGAGTTCGAGTATGAGAATGGTGACGAAGACTAGAGTCATGGTGTAGATATGAGCTAAGAGCTGAGAAAGAGCAGCCATAATTGTTGTTATTGTATATATGATTATGATGTGTATACAAAGAAAGAGAAGTTTCTTCTTTTTTGGTACATTTAGGTTTGCACCCGGGTGCAATTTGCTTTTACTCTAATATATATATATATATATATATCTATATATGAAGACATTTCAAGGGCAAGGATCTGATTGGTCATAAAAATAATTGCCTTTCCCAAACGGCTTTTAAAAATAACTTAATTAGATCCTATACTTGTGATTTGCTAATTACGATTCATAGTTACGTGTTAGAGATAAGAGAGAGAAATCGTGAGAGGAGCGAGCGAGAAATTAAAGGACAGAGAGTGGAGAGAATTGAATTGTGCATCTATATATTTGTTGAATTGAATATCTATATATGTGGTTAACAATATATATGTATTTGTATATTTGGCGAGCAAGATTGAAAAGAGAGGAGAGAGGACAAAGAAAGGAGAGAGACAAATTATATTTGCATATGTATCATATTATGTATTTGCATATGTATAAGAGAAAAGAGTGACCACATAATATAGCTAAAAAGAGAGTGCGAGTGGTAATTAAATAAACTATAATTTTGTTAGCTAATAATATGTTTTTTTAACCCCCCCCCCCCCCTTTGAGATTATATATACATATTGTTTTTTTTGTTTTTTTTGGCACTTCATTATTGTATCATTATGTTGTAGTTTATATTTTTTATAATGAAAAAAATGCCTTACGAATAAAAACAGAGTACGATGGTTTCATTTGTACAAAAACAATGATAATATTGAAAATTGTAATAAGCTTAGGGTATCAAATTGTTAAGGTACACGATGAACATCAGAGAGAAAGAGTGGTGAAGATTAGGGTTAGGAAAGGGGTGTTCATTTTTGAGAATCAATTTAGATTCATGTCGAACAATCAATTACTGAAGTCATCCATCTCGTATGGGGATTAGTTAAGAAGTATAAAGAAAAGAAGAGGGGCATGTATATTCATTGAACTTAAAAAGACTTACGACAAAGTTTCACAGAATGCTCTCTGGACATGCTTGGAGGCGAGAGCCTACCGGTGTCCCGATAGTTTATAATAGGATGATAAAAAACATATATGATCGAACCACCACTCCAAGGAAGGAATATAAAAAAATAAAAAGAATAAATAGAATTATCCTCCTCCTTGTTTTATTTTATACTTAGGGTTTGTTTGATAGGGAGTATTAGGAGACATAGTCCAAGTATTATGTATGATATTATTTAATATTATGTTTGGTAAAAAATTTGGATCTATGTATTATCAATCTAGGGATTAGTTATGCACCCTACATGGTATTAGAGGGTGTATAACTAATACCTTTCATTTGGTGGTATTAGCGCTAATACCATGAAACTATTCTAGGTAAAGACAAAAATACCCCTCAAATCCTTTAATATTTTATTGATTTAATATTTTATATTTTATATTTATACTAAAAAAGTTATTTAAATAAATTAGCTTACAAATTTTATTATTTAGATATAAATTTTTTGTTTCTAAAATATGAATTACTTATCTATTTATTACTAATATAAAATATTATAATCCGATTAATATGTTAATGTTGATGTATGAATTTAAGAACAATTCATAAGTAAAATATTGTCTCTTAATGAAAGTTCATTAAACATTACACAAGTATTCTAAAACAAGAGTGTGTGTGTATATATACACACACATCTCGAGTATAGAAATAGTTTAATTTATTTTTATATTTTTATTTTATTTTATGATAAAGAGTTTTTTAAAATTTATCGATACAAAATAAAGTTCAATAAATTTTCTTTATAATCATTATAGTTGTGTGACCTTTTGAGTTATTAACTCTAATTTATTAAGATGACAATTATTTACTCTCAAATAATTTAAGTGAGAAAATAGTGAACATGACAATAAAAATTTTATTCTCCTAATTATCTACTTTGACTCAATTATATGAAATACAAAATCTTATAATAACTCTAGGGTAAAATTGGCAAGTTTTTTTTAAAAAACTTTTAAACCACACACAAAATTAGATAAGAAACAATGAACTAAACACTTGATAAAAATTATCCTTGCATTACTAATTCTTGCATTATTTATTTTTGTACCAAATGACCCCTTTAAGTTATCATTTCTATGGAATTTATAAATGGGCCAGTGATTGAACCCTCGTGATGGATTCATAATTTACTGCAAAGTCTCTATGGAGAAAAGTCAATCACTTCAAATTGGGAGAAACATATAAAGAACATATATATATTTTTTATGAATGTTTGTTATAAGTAAATGACATGTAATAAATTTTTTAATTATAATTATTATCAAATTATTTGATTGAAATGATAAAATCCTTGATTAAGTTTTGAGACTTGATTATGATGGAGACATGATAATGAAAGAGTCATGTCTTTTAAAACTAAATTTGAAAATGTTCTTAATTGTAGGATCATTAATTGAGACAATAGTGATCTAGTTAGATCAGTACGTAAGTATAGTGGTTTTTATGAAATAAATTGATTGATCTTATCAACTAATGATTTAATCACATATATAGTTGATAGATATAGAGATATGATTGCTGAATTGAGTTATCTGGAAATTCCTAATTATTAAAATTATCATAAGTTGTTATTGCAAATATTATTTTGACAAATATGATTTTTTTTTAAAAAAAATCAAAGATAAAGTATCATGATTAAAAAATGAATGTGTTGATATTTGTCTATTTTTATCAAAAACAAATCAGCTTCGATCGAAGAAAAATGAAAAAAAAAAGTGAAAAATATAAAGCAAGAACATGATAAAGATGGAAAATTTATTTATTCTAAATAATATCCCGAATTCTAATTGTCACACATATAATCGCTAAATACATAAAGTGTAAAACTAAGGGTGTGTTTGGCACGGAGGAAAATGTTTTCCTGGAAAATAAGTAGATTTTGGACTTATTTTCTCATGTTTGGTT